TAGGTATTGTAACCCATTTTAGTTTTATCTAATCGTACAAATATGTGCTTAGCTCTTGTAGTGACAAAGGGTGATACTGTACTGTAATCAGTTTAAAGTAGTGTTTTTTTGCGTTTGTGAAGTTATATTTACGTTTCCATTGTATATATATAATCATATATAAGGTTATGCACCCTTGTAATCATGCATTGGACCGTCTTCCGATATTACAAATGTCTGTCAAAATGTGTTTGCTCTCCCACCCAGTCGATTGTGAATTACTTGAAATGACTGTCTGTCAGATTCTATCAAGTGTTAGTCCGACAGCTCTTGTAGTGACAAAGGGTGATACTGTACTGTAATCAGTTTAAAGTAGTGTTTTTTGCGTTTGTGAAGTTATATTTACGTTTCCATTGTATATATATAATCATATATAAGGTTATGCACTCTTGTAATCATGCATTGGACCGTCTTCCGATATTACAAATGTCTGTCAAAATGTGTTTGCTCTCCCACCCAGTCGATTGTGAATTACTTGAAATGACTGTCTGTCAGATTCTATCAAGTGTTAGTCCGACAGTTTCTAATTTCTACTTGTTCTTGGTTAATAATGCTTGCATGCATGTAGCGTCCACCCTAAAATCATGTCTGCCATTTTTATTTAAGAGAAAGTGAACGAAAACTGTGGACTTAGGCCCAGATAAAGCGTCACATAACATATGAAAAGTGAATGTGAAAACCTGGCTTAACTAAACTTTTTGTTTTCTTGAAAAGAACATTTTCATTCCTTCCACTTTGGTTTAAAAATACCAAACTCGGGTTAAATTTGATTGTCAAACAAACTCTATCCCAGTCTTAGGTAAAAAATGGCACCCCCTCTCAGAAAACCGTGAACACCTGAAAAATTTCAGGAATGCTGATTGTCTACTGGCCAATTACAATAAAGTTCAGGATACGCAAGCAAACCTCAAAACAACAATCTAATTACCATTGGTGTTTGCGGTTTAGTTGTCTCGCGCGTTATTGGCTAATTTCCGGTGACACAATTTCATAAATATTTCTGGTGTTCACGGTTTTGTGAGTTTCACAGTAAAAAGCAGAGCATGAATGCATAACAGTTCAATGTATTTTACTGCACCTTCAACGTGTCCAACAATGACTTCCTCGAGAGGATCCCATTCATTATATGAACACACTGGGCTCTTTAACTCATCTGGTCTTTCTCTTTGATCCAAGTCATCGGGAAAATCCTGCTTGGATTTGGCTGAACAAGTCTTCACTTGAGTACCAGCAGAAGAGCTTGCTCTACTCCTTGCTACAAGAGTTGAACACGCTCGCCATAACTGCAAAAACAAACAAATTCAAAGAACAAACAAACAAGCATAAAGAATTACCTTGAGCATATAAGTTTTATTTATTTTACCACAACATTAACATCATTATATTGAACAGATATTACATCAATATGGAGAATTTACAAGATTCCCCTATTGTTTATTATTATTATTATAATACTGAATTATCTTTTAATCAGGTCTGGACGCCATATGCAGCATAATCTAACTAATGCATAAATCTAACTATAAATTAATTTCAATTATATATTATTCATTCAAAATATTTCCCCTATTCAGACTGGCTGAAAACACACACATAATTCACCATAACCAGCTACTGATGACCAAATTTGGAAGAATTTTGCGTTTAATGAACCGATGACGTCAAAAGTGCAGCCTTCTTGCAGGTTAGCGTACGGTGGCCCAGAAGGGTCACACGCAAATTAAAAATGTTGCTGCAAATTAAAAATAGTACATGCAAACTAAAAATATTAACTGCAAATTAAATAGAGTACATGCAAACTAAAAATTGTGCCCAAATGGAAAATAGAAAACTTATCGATGCAAATGAAAAATGAAAAGTCCTGCGCGCGCAGTATGTCTGATGAGGACCTGGTTCGAGCCGTGCGACCTGGCCTTACAGCCGTCGGCCCATTCATGTTTCATGTTTGTAATATTTTCAGTTTGCATGTACAATTGTTAATTTGCATGTCCTATTGTTAATTTGAAGCAATATTTTTAATTTGCAGGTAAGATTTTTACTTTGCAGCAACATCTTTAATTTGCATGTGTGACCCTTCTTGGCCACCGTATTGACGCACCGTTAACCCAGAAGACCTGGGGACGAGGTTGAGTTGTTCTAGTTGTGAAGACAAAAATTAGCGGACATTTCACTCGTTTCAAGAGTAAGAACTGGGCGAAATTATAGCTAAAAACGTGGCAACAACAGCAAGAACACAACTTGAAGGGCGACATCTCCTATTTGGAGAGTATTTGCAGAGCTGAATAACCCTAAACGTGCACTATCGAAGATGAACTTAACATCGATGGAGGTAAGCATGTTTTAGTTTTGATTTTAAACTAGGAATTATTTTGAATGAATAATAAAACAATTATTGAATTCGGCTTACGTATCATATGAAGAATTATGGAGATCTCGGAGGGTGTTATCCGCGTCGGCCTACGGCCTCGACGGATAACACCCTCCTCGATCTCCATAATTCTCCATAAGATACTCAGCCTCATTCATTAATTGTTAATTTATAAACTTGCCTACCACTAAGCATTTTCTAAACACTGTTGTGACAAAAGATACTTTTTTAGTTTCTTTTTTATACTATATTGTGATTTTTTGTTCTTCAAATCTTCTGGTATAGAATTCCACAAATTCCCTTTACACTCTGTATTGAATAATAGCCGTTGTTTGTTCTGTAAAACTGCTTATGTATATTATTGCTTCGCCGTGTAGCATACGAATGAAGTTGACTATTCAAAATGTAAATATCCCTAAACTAATACGGCAACTTAAATAGGTCAACCGTAAAAAGGAGAGTTTGCTGATTATTTAATTAATAAACATTAAGGATCTCCAATTTTTGGAAAGAGCAGCTTTGATGACTCAGTGTACAAGGAAAAAGTTATCACACGCACTACTTTCTTTGAATTTTGATTAGACTATCAAGTCTTGGCTTGTAATTATTACCCCAGACAATATTACCATAAATAAGATAAGGGTATATCAATATGAGTAATACAGACTTAATAATAAATCCTTCCCTATAAAAGTTGTCAATGTCTCCAATTGTCTTCATTGTCTCCGAGTACCAAAAAATACAATGATCCTCAAAACTTACTCGACTTACTTTGAACTCAAACTTTAGACTTAAGCGTAAGCTTAAGTTTTACTCATAGTTGAGTGGATTGTCTCAAGCTATTCAAAACTTTGAAGCTCGGAAAACGTCAATGTATAATAGTTTCATTAAAACTGAAATATTTTTATTACTGTTCAAGCACTACATCTATAAGAGACCGGGCAATAAAGATTATAGGCAATTCCTCGGACTGGTCAATGATTTCATGCTCAGTTTCCTGACGAGTGGCTAGTGTTTGCTGTCAGAAGCAAATTTCTTTAACCCGAGATTTCTCATTGTTTTAATCTTGAAGTTGTCCGTGCAATCAGTTGTGCTCAAATGTATGCTGATTTCTTCATGATGGAAAACATTAGCTTTGGAACCTACCAATCCAAATTTCTCTACTTCCCGTCCACGGCAACCACCCTTGATTATTCGCACGTTTAGCATATTGAAATTGACTAAAGCTGAAAGAAAAAAAAATACTTTTAGCCATATTCATAAAGTCGGAAACAGTCCAAAACAGAAATCGTCAAACTTTTCTTCCAACTTTTCTTCCAACGCCAAACTGCCAAGCTTAAAAAACGCGCGTGTTAGCTGTTCAGAAAACGTCAGCGCAAAATTGATTCCTGTGGAGTTCTAAAGTGTGAGGTCATAAAAAAATAATGTGCGAAATTATGGGATAAAAGAAAAACATCCAAGAGGCTCACTTGCCAAAAACTAACATTTCGGGTCAAATTGTCTCTGAGATATTATTAGCCCAGTTATGCTCTGATGACTCTAGGAGTCATCATTTTTATGACGTCATCACTTTAGAACTCTATTGGCCGCTATTTTTAACATGTCTGGCAAAAAGAAAACAACAAATGTCTGGCAAGTGCATGAAGAACAAGACGCTGTGGGAGCGTATATTTGGGCATGGTGGTACAAACATGCCTTATTGCAGCTAAAGAACTCTCATATCTTACCAAAGAAGACAAATCCTTTACTCCACTTGTTTGCTGAACCACACAGCTTATACAGTATGTCCCAGTAGTGTCATTTCATGACAATGTTTGAAAATATGCACATCTTCAATGCAGACATGCTTAGAGCCAAATTGCAACATAGGACATAAGTGGTTACTGCCCGGAGAGTAAGGTTTATCTCAGTTCCACTGATACTGACAGATGTGTTTTCACACCCATCACATTGTACAGTGTATTCCGGTTACTAACAAGGGCAAATAAAGTTCCTTAAGTCCAGTATCCACAAGGATTAATAAGAGAGTAACACATTGCATAAACTGCTATAGGGCAGCACTGTTTACAGGAACATTGGTAACTATTAACATTTGATATACTACGATGTTCAAAATTGCTTGAGAAAAGATGAGGTTCAAAGGTGGCAATATGTACACCTCTAAGTTCATATATATCCTCATTCCCATGAAGAGTCTGAAAATATTGTACTAATTTATGCATGGATGGTATTTCCACCAATACACATGTCCCTTCACTATGACTGTTATGATACATATCTCTAGCATGAGAATCAAATACATTATATCCCCCCGCCTCAATGCTGTAGATACCAACACCAATAATTGCCACCGTTAAAATGAGTGAGTTGTAGTTCGGTGCCAAGAGTGTTTCAAATGCTGTAACCTGTGAGTGGCATATACAGTAGTGATGCATGTTACAAGCATAACTGTCACTGTATTCAAGGTGGAAAAATTGCTCAAACACTGTAACCATTCCTGGCAATTCTGTTAACATTAACATAGACTATCTTGCAAGCAGTGACAGACTAGGATATAATTGAATACCAACAATCATTATTTGAGTCATATCAT